TATAAAAAAATTCAAATTGTCACCACATTGTCAAAAAAAAGGCCCTAAAGTAAAAGTAGTCCACACAATTTCAGAAGTCATACAATAGCTTCTAAACAGCTCAAAATGTAAGCCTTAAAGTTATAGTGAGTAAAAAAATGGTGTGTCAATGTCATTAACGCTAAAAGGCATTGGATATTTATCAATTTTTATGTCAGTTGCATCATGAGACACACAGAAACCAATGTTGTTTGACATCATTGACGTCAAATAAATTATATCAGAATGTTCATTTTTGGATGAACTATTCCTTTAATTATCCCCATTTTGCTGCAGAACATAAATAATTTGAACTCTTCTGGACCTCTTAAAGCAGTCAAAAAATCACATCATTGCCGAACAGCATGCCAGCTCACATTGTGATTTCCGCTCTTGATTCATGGCGTCCCTCCTGCTGTTATTTTGGATAACAAAAGACATTATATATATATATATATATATACATATATTTGACCTTCTGGCTCAACAGTTAATTATTTTGTTGTGTCTTAATGCTGTTAACCTGATGCTTGGAGGATTGCAGTTATAAAGAGAATAGATTTTTAAGGCCTGGCTCCTTCATAATGGATGTGATGTAATAGATTGCACAGGGTGCACTGAATAATTGAGAAAACTCTTAGTGTGCTCGGCCTCCTGATGGAGACTGCACAGTATGCGTGTGCGCGAGACACAATCGAGTATACCGCACATAGCGACACAGCATCTTCCCTTCATTATGCAATTGAATTGTGACCTCTGTCATAATAGCTTCGATCCACCCCTCGTAACACAGGTCTGGTGACGGTGTCACTGACTATAAATAGAGCTCAAAACTGCATTGCAATCAGGAGTTTTATTGTAACGTGATATAGCAGCTTTGTACCAGAGGGCCCCTCGTATGCAAAAAAGCTGTAATTCACTCTCATTATCTCGGATGTCTGATGCTGAAGCTGCAGCCTACATGTCACTGATCCTTTTTAAGCCAAACCAGAGATTTCCTACTTCATCAGACCAAGAATATCATTAGCGAAGACTTCCGGAATGTGTAATCCGGGACTGCATATGCATTTAGCCGTTGTGGTTGAAGGTTTGGTTTTGGATGCTAAAAAATCCTACTATGATAGACAAGCATCACTATTATTATTGCTCATACTTGGGGTTAGTGATTTGAACAAATTCTAATCCTCAGTACTAAGCTTCGATGTGTAGCGTTCATACCACACTGGGAACTGAACACATGACCTTGCTAGCATCATACTTAAAGTGTGGGCTACGGGAATGCAGCACATTGGTAACCTTCCAGAAGCCTAGAATCTTCAAGAACACCCTAGTAGTGCATTTTAAATGCAAAACTGTGGTTGCATTATGAAAAACACAACTTGAGCTGTTGGAGAGACCAGTATGGACAATGATGATCAGGAGTTTCAATCAGTTGAGAGAGAGTTTACTGAAGACGGTGGTCTCAGCACTTCCAATAGAAGTCAAATTCAGAAATGCAGCAATGATCAAAGAATAATTCAAATGAAAGAAATCTTGATCATCGTTGACACACTATGTTCCTCATTCATATGCATGTCTCTTAGGTTGGTCAAAAGTTAGTCTTAAATTCATGAGGATTTTTCTTTCTTCCTGACATCTCTGTCATCTGGTCTCTCATAACGGCAAACGATCTCTGTAATTTATCCAATTCAAAGTTTTGTCAGGATGTCACTGAAACGCAGGTATCAGCTTTCTAGAATAAAACATGGGGATGAAGCAGTACGTCCACAAAACCTTTACTTATGATTTAAAATATGGAGCTATTGAAAATATTAACATAATTTATTCACCCTCATGTAGTTCCAAACCCATAAGACTTTCGTTCATCTTCAAAACACAAATTATGATATTTATAAGACCTGAGATTTCTGTTCCTCCATTGAAAGTCCATTCCACTCAACTTTGAGCTTCAAAAAAGTTCATAAAGACGTAAAAGTAACCTATATTTGAGCTGCTGTTGACTGTACGTTTATATGTGTGCAAAAGTTATGCGTGCATTTATATTCATGTAGATGCCGATATAAGTGCTGATCCATTCATATAGATTACTATTATGATGTCCTAATTCACTTTTTGAAAGTCAAAGTTTTGGTGGAATGGACTTTGAATGGAGGGACAGAAATCTCTCAAGTTTCATAAAAAATATTGGTAACACTTTAGCATAGGGACCAATTCTCACTTTTAACTAGCTGCTTATTAGCATGCCTATTATTAACATGTTGGCTGTTTATTAGCACTTATAAAGCACATATTCTGCACGACCATATTCTACATTCCTAATCCTACCCAATACCTAAATTTAACAACTACCTTATAATAAGCAGCAAATTAGGAGTTTATGGACTCTGTGCACAAGCGTAGCGACGAACTTCCGCTGTCGCCAGAAGTCGGGATATCAGTTTCCGCTTTTCATTCGCGTCGCCAAAAATGTCAGTATTTTCTAGATGTCTCCGAGATCTACAAGTAAGAAAAAGTGATGTCTATCGTATCGTCAATGCCCGGTTCCCTGCTCCAATATGCAAGCAAAACAAGGAATTCAAACACAATATATCGAGTTATATGCACAAATAGTTTAATCTAATGTGTTATTTCGGAATCTAACGGCTAAGCTAGTTAGCGACAGGCTCATTTTAGAAGCTTGTTTTTCTCAAATTTTAAACGCAGACAGTTCGTTTTTTTTTTGTTTTTTTTTGGGTGATAATTGTATTATCACTTGTATTAAACTTCTCCCCCTCTCAGTTTTTAATAAAGATCAGGGCACAGGTTTAGTCATTGTCTGGTCATTGTGCTACAGGTCCATTTTCCATTTAAGGAGCAAACTTTTTTTTAAAGTACTTATTATGGAAATAATTTAAAATAATATACT